CCCTAATATTTGTGCGTGTGTGATCATGGCACTAGGTTGTTCACCAAAAGAAACAAAGAATTCTAATATGACATGGAATAACACTCAAAACAGAAGTCAATACAAGAAAACACCCTGTTTAATAGCTTGATGTTAGAATAAATACTTTCCCCCCACTGTAAGCATTTTTTTGCAGAAAGCCTCAGAATTCACATATGTGCCCTTGAATCAAATGCAAGGTCAATTTAAATGTTATGGACTGGAAAACAGAGCCTACGGAGCAATAAAATTGTCCTAAAGTACTTTGGTCTTTTGTTTTTCATTAGTTATGCACAATTATTTCTGTAGTAAGACTTTAGGACTGAAATAATTGTGCATAACTTAACTAATGAAATAATACAAGAAACTGATCCTAAAGTTTGATATTTACACAGATACAATCATTTTGTGAAGGCTGGGTAGGACTGAGGCAGGAATCTTGCATGTCTTTCAACAGTTTACAACATGTAGTCTTGGTGTACAAGAAAAATCATGCTGACTTCTTAGAAAAATTGAAATAAAAGAGAATTGTAGTGGAAAATAATCTGACATGTCATAAAATAGATATATCTATCAAATGAATAAGTGCAATACTCTGGAAATGAACTGCGCTATTTCTGATCTAGCATGACCTTTTTAAAAAATGAAATGTAAGACTGAATATTTATTAGTCTATGGTATCCTGAATTTTCTGAAATTATATACTGTACAACTATATATTTTAAAAGAAAAACTGGGAAGCATTGCAATGGATTATTACATACGTATAATTTAAGCTGAGTAGGTCATAAGCTTCTTGCCCTAATAGAGTCCTGTTCTGATATATGCAGATGATGCAGCCATTTTTCCAATCTCAGTTGTGGGACTTAGAAAAGATCTCCAGGTCTTTTAGTTTCTATTGTTCTGAAGAAAAGTTCATTCTAAATTAACAGAAGACCAAAGTCATAGCTTTCTTTGAAATAGTAGCACTTAACAAAATATGGCTGGCAGATCAATGGACACGAAATACTACAAGCTAAAAACTTTAGATTCCTAGATGCTGTTTTACAGGCCTTCTGATCCTGGGAGTGGGGGGCATAGATTATGAATGATATGAATTTCACCCTGAAGTGTGTGGCTTTGATTTTCAAGTTCTTTTTCAAAAATGGTGGTTTATATATCCCATCTAGAATTAGAGGTTTTCAAGGTAAGGCAGTTGCCAAGTTACATGGTATGCAGGCCTGTATCTACAAGAATTTTTCCCTCTTGGAAGCAGTTTGATCTAAGATCTTGAAAGCTATCTTTAGGGTCCCTTGGTTGTCCCCAATGCCACCTTTTGATTGGAGGTAGATCTCAATTCAGTAGAAGCATGAGTTTGAATAAGTAAAATCAGCTACTGGCTTAAACTAACATTCTTCCCTGAGGGCTCAGACCTACTGACGCTATTAGATAATTTTTACTCAACTTGGAAGACCACCTTGGAGATAAAATTACAAAATATTGGCCTATCTGTAACAGCCCTGCATTCTTTGGGTTTTTCCAAAGCTAAAGAAGTTGCCAAACAGCAAATAATTGATTTGCACAGTGATAATGCTATGAACTTCCTTTACTTTAAGATGGGGGACTTAAATAAACCTTTTGCCCTGGCTAAATATTAATATAATCTTGCTACTGCAAAATAGTGTAGGGCCTTTGCCCTGGCACATTTTAACATGTCTTCAGACTTACTGGAAGGAAGATAACATATTCACTTCACAGAGAGGCTCTGTCCCTGTCATTTGGGAATAACTGAAACTATGGGCCATATGCTGCCATACTGCCGATTTTATGAAGAAATTTGTCACCTACATTTTACTTCACTTCTAAGCAAGTTCCCCAGTAGACTAGACAAGTCCTATGTTTAATTTCTTCTTGCAAACTGTAATAGTGATGCCATCTTTAAAGTTGCCAAATTTTGTTTCAGAACTTGTATTATTAGTAATTATTGGAACATGGTGATTATTATTCAGTCCAACCAGAAACAAATTATGTAACCTGGTAATTGTATTTGAATTTCTATATTATTTTACACTAAGGTTATTTTATATTGCTCTATTCTAAAGCTGAGTATGGCTTTTATTATACATTTGCAAAGCAGTTTTACAATTTAATGATTTAGTCTTATGTATTTAATCGTTTTGTGCCTTAGTATTTTTCCTACATTTTATTTTTTTCTAATACAATCAGAAATTTTTATGGATTTCCATATGTACTCTATAAACTCTATTTCACAAATGTACAGTATTCTGGCCAGTGACTGTAATAAAGCTGTTCTGTTCTACTGTAATCTGAAAGAATAATGGATCCTTCAGCATAATAAGTCTTATCTTTCTTTGGTATTGTATACACATGCAATCACATCAATTTCTGAAAAATCAAACAAATGGGAGATGTTTTTTTTAAAAATTCCTGTTACACAAGTGAATGCAAGGGAATGCTATATAAACCAAAGAGTAAAGCATCAATAAATTATTGAAGTCTTACAAAAGTATGTAGTGATATATATGCTGACTAATCCTTCATCAGATAATTACTGTTATTCAACAGCTCCAAGCAGTGGAGAAAAAGTTTTCATTTTTTTTAAATAGAAATTTTGGAAAAAAATAGAATACGTGCAACATTTACTTTTAGCATCCTTTAGAAATAGTTTCCTTACTTTTTTTTATAAACGTGTTATATATATTGGTTTGCATATTTATGAACCACTTCAGTCATGTTAGACTTTAATTATATGTGTATATTGCTAAAATATAGTTTATTCAGACAATAATTATAAGCTTATTGACTGAATTTACTTTAAAACGTACTCTTTCATTGCAGACAGAGGTATCGGATGCTCAGCTCTAAGCAATATAGTAGCCCATCATATTTAACTCTACAAGGAGCAAGCAGGCAAACAAAAGAAACAATATTGTAATAAGATAATAAAGCAACAAAAAAATTATTCTGGACTTCATCTCCCACTGTATAAAACAGACATAAAAAGCAGTAATTTTCAGGAGGAAAAAAAAACTGAGAAAAAAGGGTGGGGATACAATACTCCAATCACACTTTTTGCCATGGGAATATTTAATCAGTCTTGTGTTTTGAACCTGAATATATTAAACAGCACTTTCTACTTCTATGGAACAGCATAATTATAACAGCTCATAATACTAATCATCTGGATACTATTTAATAATATGTGTAGTGGAGAAGGCCCCAATTCAGCTGAAATCAAGTTAGTATTAAATACAAACTGGGACAAGATTTAACTGAGTACAGGTGAAACTCGAAAAATTAGAATATCGTGCAAATGTTCATTTATGTCAGTAAGGCAACTCA